TTAGAGGCGTTTTTTCCGATTTTCTGCAATTTTTGCTCCCCAGTGGGTCATTCTCCGATTAGCGAAAATTTGTCCCCAATTATTCTTTTCTCGAAAACGGGCCCTCGAATCAAGAAAAGCTCTTCTTCGAAAAATGTGCGCAGTTGTCAAATGTGTCTAGTAGGTTTTTTCAACTTTTCATTTTCGTTGGTTTTCGAATAATTGCCGATAAATGAGCTTTTTTCACCCCAAAGCTTGGATATTGTCAAATATGAACAATTTGTGGCAATTTTGTGCACACTGCGGGATAAATATTGCAAATGCGCGCAGAAAAAATGGTAATGCATTTTTCTCTACAGTGGGTCATTCTCCGATTAGCGCTAAATTTTCACTAACATAATTTTGTTCTGGAAAACCGTGCATTTAATCGAAAAATCTTACTCTTCAGAAAAAGTTAGCAGCGTCAACTTGTTTCCAGTGGTGGTTTCCAACTTTTTAATTATTTTTTCGCTTTTGAGTAAACGCCAAAAAGCCGGGTTTTCTCAAAGAAAACCTTTGATATTGTCAAAACTGGGAAAGCTGGTGCACTTTTATGCACACCACTGCACAGAGGAGGTCAAAGCGCATGAAGATTCTAATAATGATTTGTCGCCTACAGTGGGACATTCTCGCGGTAGCGGATATTTTTCACCAACTATTTTTTCTCGAAAACAGGGCCGTTGATGAAGAGAATGTGCTCCTAATAAAATAGGCGCAGGTTGCAAATGTGTCTAGTAGATTTTTTTCAACTTCCAATTTTTTTCGCTTTCGAATAAATGCCAGAAAATCAGTTTTCTCACACAAAAGCGAGCGGAAGCGAAAACTTTTCTGTGCTTGCCGCGGGATAAAGAGGGTAAATACGCATAGAAATCGTGGTAATGGGTTTTTCTCTACAGTGGGTCATTCTCCAATAAGCACTAAATTTTCACTAACATAATTTATTTCTGGAAAACCGTGCATTTAATCCAAAAATATTACGCTCCATAAACTGTTCGAAATGGCCACTCGTTTACAGTGGCAGTCTCGCAATTTCCTATATTTTGTCTTTGAGAAAATGCCAAAAAACCGTACCAACCAGCTTGCAAACTTATATTTAAACCCGTAAAAATGCCGGAATTTTTGCATTTTATTTTTTAGCGCTCGAACTAAGCCCCCAATCGAAAAACTTTACTCTTGATAAAAGCTGCGAAATCCTTCGCGCCCGCAAACACCATATCTTGCAAGCCTGCCCCGTGCAAGGTTAAGGAAAAAACGTTAAAAATGTGTTTTTGCAAAAACTCCCAATAATTCCCGAAATAAAGGCCCCAGAAAAGATTGAAGCACACCACTCGATAGAGAGCGTCAATGCACATAAAAATGTTGGTATTCACTTTTTCGATGAAATGAACGATAAATGAACTACGGCCGATTTTCGCTTTTTGTCCAATTTTTCTCGAAGTTGGGGAATTTTTTGAAAAATCCCATCGATGCCAAATTTCAGTTGTGGACTTATGTCCGAATAAATTTACCCACTTTTGCATGTGTTTTTTGCATACGAATGAAATTGGAAAGAAAAATTCGGGAAAAACAATTTCTGGATTTTTGCCCCAAAAAATTCCCAGTCGAAACCCGTAAAATTGCTTGAATTTTTGCATTTTATTTTCTTGTGCTCAAACTAAGCCCCCAATCGAAAAACGTCACTCTTGATAAAAGATGGGAAATCCTTCACGCTAGCAAACCCCGTATTTGGCATTCCTGCCCCGCGACAGGTTAAGAAAAAAACGTCAAAAACGTGTTTTTGCAAAAATCTTCAATAATTCCCAAAGTAAAGCCGCTGACAAAGTTTGAGGCCCACCACAGGGTAGAGGGCGTCAATGCACATAAAAACGTTGCTACCCACTTTTTCGATGAAATCAACGATAAGCGAACTACGGCCGATTTTCGCTTTCAGGCCCATTTTTGTCAAAGTTGGGGAATTTTTTGGAAAATTCCGTTGATGCCAAATTTTAGTTGTGGACTTATTTCCGAAAAAATCTGCCCACTTTTGCATGTGATTTTTGTATACGAATGAAATTGGAATGAAAAAATTCGGAAAAAACGATTTTTGGATTTTTGCCCCAAAAAATTCCCAGTAAAATTGCCTGAATTTTTGCATT